GTGACATCAGGCAGGTCCCATCCCTCCTGGTTTTTAGATAGAGACTTAAGAGCTGGCTTTTTATGTTTGGTGAATAGGAAACTACGGATGAGACTTGAATAATGGACTATGGATTTCGGGAAATGATTTGGACATGAGATTATGACTCAGCGTTTTATATGTGGTTTTAATCTGTTTGATAGATTGTTATGAGTTTTAAATGCTTATATGCTTAGATTGTTTCTGTTTTTATATGTGTTTTATTGTTTACCTGTGCAGCATTGAAACCACTGGACGAATTGACACCAAATTTGGACATAAGACACCTAACAACCCAATGTATGTCCTTCACTCAAAAAATTGATTTTGTCATTTGGGAGTTGTAGTTGCTGGGATTTATAGTTCACCTACAATCAAAGAGCTTTCTGAACTCCACCAACGATGGAATTGAACCAAACTTGGCACACAGTTCTCCCATGACCAACAGAAAATACTGGAAGGGTTTGGTGGGCAGTGTCCTTTGGTTTTGGAGTTGTAGTTCACCTACATCCAGAGATCACTGTGGACTAAAACAATGATGGATCTGGACCAAACTCTACATGAATACTCAATATGCTCAAATGTAAACCCTGGTGGAGTTTGGGGAAAATAGAATCTTGACATTTGGGAGTTGTAGTTGCTGGGATTTATAGTTCACCTATAATCACAGAACATTCTGAACCCCACCAACGATAGAATTGGGCCAAACCTCCCACACAGAACCCCCGTGTGGGCCACAGCAATGCATGGCAGGGGATGGCTAGTACATAATAAATAAATAGAGAGAAAGGAAGGAAGGAAGGAAGGAAGGAAGGAAGGAAGGAAGGAAGGAAGGAAAGAGGGATAGATCCATAGTTTCTCCCTTTGATTCCAAGTGTGGATTAACAATAGGGTCCAGGTCTACAGTTCTTTTCCCTTCCTTCTTTCCTTATTCCCTCCCTCTTTTTTCCATTATTTCTTTCATTCCTTGAGGTCAAACCAATTTGTTTTCTGCCCTAGCTAAACCCTCTTTGCCTGGCCTTGCCCTGAAATTGGCATTTATTATATGGTGCGATGGCACGGCCAGGGATCGGAAACCGTGCCATTTTCGTGGCTACCCCCTTCCCTGGCTTTTCCAGCTGTTGAAGAAACGCCAATAAGCAAAGGCCAAGCCATAAAACCCAGGCCTTCAAAAGAAAGGAATAAATGTTTCCGACACCTCGGCAATGTGGTTTCACTTTCCAGCCTTACTAAACACCTGATCAGTAAATGGGGTTTTGGTTTTTTTCCCTTTCCCTCTTAAAAAACAATTCCAAGAAACAAGAATGCAATAAAAGCTTGCAGGTATCACTGGGACGGAGGGGAAAGAAATCACACCTTTCTCTTTTAAAACATATGTTTGGGGCTGTGAAAGGAGGGGGAGACAGAGAGAGAGCAATACACAGGCCTTTGCTGCAAAATATGTGTCTATATACGTATGTTTGTACCACAAAGGTTCCTGCATGGTTTGGTGGATTGGGACCAAATATGGCACACGGATTCTCCTTTCTTCAACTTAAAGTTATAGATGGGTTTGGGCTAAAAAGGCCACCCCTTTCAGGCCCGGAAAAGAGGGAAAGCAAAGGAACAAAGCAGATTGGCTGCAGTCAGGGTAAGGATCATCTGTTGCTAGGCAAAGTAGGCCTCTGTGTTGTCACTGGGAAAGAAAGGGAGCAAAGTGGATTGGCTACTACTAGGTGACATGAGTATGAGGGAAGGAAGGGAAGGAAAGAAAGAGAAAAAGAAGGGAGAGAAAGAAAGGATGAAAGAAGGGAGAAAGAAAAGGGAAGAAAGAGAAAAGAAAGAGGAAAGGGTGAGGGAGGGAGGTAAGAAAGAAAAGAAAGCAAGGGAGATGGGAAAGAAAGAAAAAAGAGGGAAGGAAAGAAAGAGAAAAGAGAGAATGAAAGGAGAGAGAATGAAAAAGGAGGAAGGGAAGGAAGAGAAAGGAAAAAAGGCTGTGAGGGGAGGAAAAGAAAGAAAGACAAAAAAGGAAAGGAAAGACAGCAAGGGGGGAGGTGGGAAAGAAAAAGAGAGAAGGAAGGAAAAAAGAAGGGAAAGAAAAAGAGAATGAAAGGAGAGAGAGAGAAAAAGGAGGGAAGGAAGGCAAAGAAAAAGAAGGGAAAGAAAGGGAGAATGAAAAGAAGGAGAAAGAAAAAGGAGGGAAAGAAGATAAAGGAAAAATAGGGTGTGAGGGGAGGAGAAGAAAGAAAGAAAGAAAGAAAGAAAGAAAGAAAGAAAGAAAGAAAGAAAGAAAGAAAGAAAGAAAGAAAAAAGCAAGGGAGGGAGATGGAAGGAAGGAAGGAGAAAGAGAAGGGAATGAAAAGAGGGAGAAAGAAAGGAAGGCAAGGGTGTGAGGGAAGGAGAGGAAAGCTAGAAAGGAAAAAAAGGAAGGAAAAGAAAAAGGGAGGGAGATTGAGAAGGAAAGGCAAAGCAGGGATGGAACGAAAGAGAAAGAAGAGAAAGGGGATGAATGAAAGAAAGAAAAGAAAGAAAAAGGAGGGAAGTAAGAAAGGAAAGAAAAAGGAAAGTGTATGAGGGGAAGAAAGAAAGAAAAAGGAAATGAAACAAACTGAGATAGGAAAGAAAAAGGAGGGAAGAAAAGGAAAGAACGCAGAAAAGAAAGGGTGTGAGGGATGTAAAGAAAGAGAAAGAGGGGAAGCGAAAGGAAAAAAGAAAGAAGAAGGGGAAGATATATGAAGGAAGGGAAAGGACAAGGGAGAATATGTATGAGTGAAAGCAAGGGAAGGAAGAAGGAAAAGAAAACGAAGGTAGGAAAATGGGAGGGAGGTATTAGGGAAGGAAGAGAAAGATGGGAAGGAAAGAAAAAAGGGACAAAGGGAGAGAGGGAAGAGAAAAAACAATGGGAAGAGAAAGGAAGGTGGCGAAAGGAAAGGAGAAAAGGTATGAGAAGAGGAAAGGAAAGAAAAAGAAGCGAGGGAGGAAGGAAAGAAAGAAAGAAAGAAAAAAAGAAAGAAAAGAAAGTAATTGAAGGGAAGGCATATGAGGGAAAGCAAGGCAAGAACGAAAGGAAGAAAAGAGAGAGAAAAGAGGTGCATGAGGGAAAGGGAGAAAGGAAAGAAAGAGTCACCAATGCATACTTGAGTAATGACACTAGTAATAGTAATATACACTAGTCATAATAATCTATTGTATTTGTTACCTGCCTCTCAAGGTGTCAAAATACATGGCTAGAAACACAGACCATTGAAACACATATAGCAAAAGGTAGAATAACATCTTGGAAAGGGGAGCACCGAAGTTTATCCTAAAGGTTGAAACGGTTAGATTCGTCCCAATTCCATCTTGCTCGCGATGCAAATATTTTTCATTTTCCCACCCATCTCGGGGTGTTTTGTTGTTCTTTGTGGCCTAGGAAATCAAAGCAAAAGAGCTCCAAAGAAGGGGGGAAAGAGAAGCCCACTGCCTTGAGGGAGTCCTGTGTTGAATTAATCTTAGACCTCTGTCCTCGGATATCTCAGCAGGACAAATGAATTACTCGAGTCTGGGGTCGGCCTCTGCCTGAGCGAGACCAGATGTTCGGGGCCCGACTCTCGTTTCCTTCCCACCGAAGGAGGATCAATTAGGTTTGTGAGACCCGGTCCATAGAAAGCAAAGGCCAAATGCCTCCACTTTCCTCAGATAATAAACTCGCACCGTCCTGTTCGCCCCCCCCCCCCCACTGCGACTGAAATGTCCCGGTTCCCTTCCCTCCCTCCCGCCTTCCCCTTCAGATTGCTTCCGATTGCTGCAAAAATGGGAAGGAGAGTCAGAAGAAAAACACGGCGGACTCTCCGTCTGGTCCTGAGATACAGACCTCCAAGTGCTCTGTAATAATTCGTAAACCTCCCTAATTTCGCCATGGGCTTTTTCATAAATGCGGAAAGGGGACCTCTATTCCCTTGCTTCCTATAATATTTTGCCCATTTACCTCTTTGGAAACTTTCTTGCTCAGATATGGTTGCTCCACGAAGAATTTCGAAGCAAATTGGCATCAATAATTTTAAAAAGCTGCTGTTGTTGTGTGCCTTCCAATGATTTCTGACTTACAGCATATCTACAATGGGTATTGTTGTTCTTCTATGCCTTCAAATCATTTTTGACTAATGCAAATCTACCATGGGGTTGTTGTCATCGTCACTGTACGTCTTCAAATAATTTTTGATGTACAGTAAATCTACCATGTTGTTGCTGTTGTTGCCATTGATGTGTGCCTTTCAAACATTTCTGACTAATGGCATATCTACATGGGTCTTGTTGTTGTTTTTGTTGTTGTATGCCTTCAAATCATTTCTGACTAATACAAATCTACCATGGGGTTGTTGTTGTTGTTTTTGTGTTCCTTCCAATCATTTCTGACTTATGGCATAACTACCATAAGGTTGTTGTTTTGTTGTGTGCCTTCGAATAATTTCTACCATGGGTGTTGTTGTATGCCTTCCAACCATTTCTACCATGGGGTTGTTGTTGTTGTTATGTGTCTTCCAATGATTTCTGACTTATGGCATGTCTATCACGGATGTCGTTGTTGTTGTTGTTGTTGTATGCCTTCCAATCATTTCTGACTAATGCAAATCTACCATGGGGTTGTTGTTGTTGTCACTGTATGCCTTCAAATAATTTCTGTTGTATGGCAAATCTACCATGGGGTTGTTCTAGTCGTCATTGTACACCTTCAAATAAGTTCTTCCTCTTATATGCCCATCCTTTTCTGACTCATGACCTATCCACCACGGTTTATTTGTCAAGGTTGAGAGTGTGCGACCCACCCCAGGTTCACCCAATGGGCTTTCATGGCAGATTGGGGAGCCTAGTCCGATATAGACTTCCATTGCCTTTAACGGCAGTTTTCAGGTGGGTTCGGGGAGCTCTGCCGCCACCTTCCTCTGAGGCTGGGAAAGTGTGACTCGCGAGATACACTAAGTCCAGACCTTAACTCCCTCTCCCTCTGTCTCTTTCTGCTGCAGACCCGGCCATCATCTCCCCGCAAGACCCCAGCCTCCTCATCGGCGCCTCGCTCACGGCCAGCTGTTCGGTCAGCGCTGACTCCAGCCTGAGGGCCGAGGACCTTTACTGGACCCTGAATGGCCAGCGGCTCCCGGAGGACACGTACCGCGTCCTGGGACCCCGCCGCCTGAGTGTCACCCTTTCCCACCTGAACGGCTCCCAGCAGCAGTCGGGGGACAATCTCGTCTGCCACAGCAAGAGGGGTGGGGGCATCTTGGCCGGGTCCTGCCTCTATGTCGGATGTAGGTGTCTCCCCCCCCCCCAATCTGCGGTCCTCCAATTATCTCTATGAAGCTCTAGGTCCTCTGGTGTGAATCAAGGATCTAAGAAGCTCTGGGTCAATGGTTCTCAACCTGTGGGTCCCCAGGTGTTTTGGCCTACAACTCCCAAAAATCCCAGTCAGTTTACCAGCTGTTAGGATTTCTGGGAGTTGAAGGACAAAACATCTGGGGACCCATAGATTGAGAACCACAGCTCTAGGTCCTCTGCTGTGAATCAAGGCTCTCTCTAAGAAGTTCTAAGTACTCCCGTGTGACTCTATCTCCTCTCTCTCAGAAGCTCTAGGTCTTCCTGTGTGACTCAAGGTTCTAAGAAGCTGTAGGTCCAATGTTGTGACTCAACGTTCTCTCTAAGAAGCTCTAGGCACTCCAGTGTGAATCAAGGCACTCACTAAAAAGCTCTAGGTCATCTGGTGTGAATCAAGGCTCTCTCTAAGAAGCTGTAGGTCCTCCGGTGAGAATCAAGGCTCTCTCTAAAAAGCTCTAGGTCCTCTGGTGTGAATTAAGGCTCTCTCTAAGATGCTCTAGGGACTCCAGTGTGAATCAAGGCTCTAAGAAGCTCTAGATTCCCCGGTGTGAATCAAGACTCTCTCTAATTTTTGGAGGCACCCCTACATAAGAAGCTCTAGGTCATCCAGTGTGAATCAAGGTTGTCTCTAAGAAGCTCTATGTCCTACAGTGTGAATCAAGACTTTCCCTAAGAAGCTCTAGGTTCTCTGGTGTGAATCAAGGCTCTCTCTAAAAAGCTCTAGGTCCTCCAGTGTGAATCAAGGCTCTTTCTAAGAAGCTCTAGGTCCTCCAGTGTGAATCAAGGTTCTCTCTAGGAAGCTCCAGGCCCTCTGTTGTAAATCAAGGCTCTCTCTAGGATGCTCTAGTCAGTGGTTCTCAACCTGTGGGTCCCCAGATGTTTTTGCCTTCAACTCCCAGAACTCCTAACAGATGGTAAACTGGCTGGGATTTCTGAGAGTTGCAGGCCAAAACACCTGGGGACCCACAGATCAAGAGCCACTGCTCTAGGTCCTCTGGTGTGAATCAAGGCTCTCTCCAGGAAGCTCTAGATCCTTTGGTGTAAATCAAGTCTCTCTCTAGGAAGCTGTAGGTCCTCAAGTGTTGGAAGATCTAGATGTTCTTTCATTTAAATACATATATTATCTTGCCTTGAGCTACAAGGAGAGGGATGTAATAATAATAATAATAATAATAATAATAATAATAATAATAATAGAAGAGACATGTTTTTCCATTTGCCGTCTCCGAGAACCTTTTTTGCCAATTAGAAACATACACAATCCCACACTCAGGCTCGCTCTTGGGATGTTCTTTTGCCGTCTGTCCTATCCAAAACAGAAAAGAGTAAAGCTATTTTGGCAAGGCTTTCTGCACGCAATTACAGTTGTCCGAATCAATATGTGTGAGATGTTTATCGCAGGGCTATTTTTACGATCTTCCGAGCGAAACACGCTGAGAAAGATGGGAAACTTCGGCTGGGAACAGCAGCACTTTGAGCCGGATCCCCTTAATGCTGCTTTTTTTTGTGACCCAAAGAGCAAAATGTAAACATCTAAAGCAGCATATCATCATATTATTATTATTAATGCAATAAATGGGTCCTTCAATTCAGGACTCTGGGAATTTCTTAAACCCTCCCGTATTCCTAATGCATGTTTTTTTTTTTCTATTTTAGTGCCTCCATCCAAACCCACTAATATTTCATGCTGGTCTAAGAACCTGAAGGATCTCACTTGCCGATGGGCGCCAGGAACCGAAGGCGAAACGTATCTCCACACTAATTACACCCTGAAGTATAAACTGAGGTAAGAGGTAGATGTGAAGAATATTGTGTCTCTATACTGCCCACTTGGGGTTGCACCTGAGGACTGCATCTATACAGAACTAGAGGCCAGTAGCTAATCCTTTCTATACTGCCCTCTTGTGGCTGCATCTGAGCACTGCACACAGATACATATTTATTCATATTTGGAGCACTAGTCCTGAAGAAGGAAGTTTTTTTTTACTTTTAAACCCACCAGTGTTTTAAGTTGAACCATGAAGGATTTAGGTATGCCAAGTCTGATCCAGATCCATCAAGCCATTGTGGAGACTTTGAGGAACAAAAATACAAACATATTTTCACTTACATAGATAGATAAATAGCGATAGATAGATAGATAGATAGATAGATAGATAGATAGGTAGGTAGGTAGGTATAGACAGATAGATAGATAGACAGACAGATAGATGAGTATAGATAGATGGAGAGATACATGGATAGGCAGATATAGATAGAAAGATGGATGGTTGGAGATAGGTAGATTACTGTAGATAGACAGACATATAGATAGATATGTAGCTATAGATAGATGGATAGGTAGAGAAAGATAGATAGATAGATAGATAGACATATGATAGGTAGATAGAAGTAGATAGATGGATAGATAGGGATAGATAGATAGATAGATAGATAGATAGATAGATAGATAGATAGATAGATGATCCTAGAGTTGGAAGAGACCACAAATGACATCTAGACCAACCCTTTAAGATAAATGGATGGATGGATGGATGGATGGATGGATAGATAGATTGATAGGTAGAAAGATAGATAGATGTTCCTAGAGTTGGAAGAGACCCCAAAGGCCATCTAGACCAACACTTTAAGATGGATGAATGGATGGATAGATCGATAGATTGATAGGTAGATAGGTAGATAGTTAGACAGATGTTCCTAGAGTTGGAAGAGACCCCAAAAGCCATCTAGACCAACCCTTTAAGATGGATGGATGGATAGATTCCTAGAGCTGGAAGATACCCCTAAGGCCATCTAGACAAACCCTTTAAGATAGATGGATGGATAGATGGATAGATAGATATACAGATGATAGATGTTTAGGAGTTGGAAGAGACCTCAAAGGCCATTTAGACCAACCTTTAAGATGGATGGATGGATGGATAGATGGATGAATAGATAGGTATCCCACCTAGAGCTGTGGTTCTCAATCTGTGGGTCCCCAGATGTTTTGTCCTTCAACTCCAAGAAATCCTGGATAGATGTGCTTTTCCAGTGTTTTATTGTAATTATGTACTTTGATATTTTACCAATTGTATGTGTTTTTATGGTTGAGTCCCTCTAATGAGGTGAGAAGCTCGGTATATAAAACTTTGAAATAGATAGATAGATAGATAGATAGATAGATAGATAGATAGATAGAATCCTAGAGTTGGAAGAGACCCCAAAGGCCATCTAGACAAGAACCTTTAAGATGGATGGATGGATGGATAGATGATAGATAGAATCCTAGAGTTGGAAGAGACCCCAAGGGCCAACCAGAACTATCCTTTAAGATGAATGGATGTATAGATGGATGTATAAAAAGATTGAATGGGTGGGTGGGTGGGTGGGTGGGTGGGTGGGTGGGTGGGTGGGTGGGTAAATGGATGGAATGAGAAATGGATGGATAGATAGATAGATAGATAGATAGATAGATAGATAGATAGAGATGGATGGAATGAGAAATGGATGGATGGATGGATGGATGGATGGATAGATAGATTGGAAGAAACCAACCCTTTAAGATGGATGAATTGTGAGATGGATGGATGGATAGATAGACAGATGTATATAGATGGGTAGATAGCTATAGATAGATGGATAGATAAACAGAAATAGATGTATAGATGCAGATAGATGGAGATAGATGGCTGGATGGATAGATAGAGAGATACAGCCTCTCAAGCCATGTACACTATATTTTAGAGGCAGGTATAGGCCAAACAACCTCTGAGCCTTCCTTGCCTACGAAAACCTGAAAGCACACTAGTACTAGAATTCCCCGCAATGGAAGTCTCTCATGCCTTCCTAAAATAATGCCAAGCAAGAATGCAGGAATGGAGAAGGGCTTGCAAAGGAGGAAGCTCTACTGCCTGCAGATTCTTCCTCTCCTAGGTGGTATGGCCGGGACAACGCTTGCCAAGACTACCACACAGCTGGGCCATATTCCTGCCACATCCCCAAAGACCTGGCCCTCTTCACGCCTTACGAGATCTGGGTGGAGGCCTCCAATCGACTCGGGGTGGCCGTCTCCGAAGTGGCCATGCTGGACATCGTCGACGTGGGTGAGCCCCCAGTCCCGTTCCTCCATGAACCTGGGAGGCTGGGTGGCCCTCTGTTAGGAGGGATTGGATTGTGCCAGCCTGCCTAGCAAAAGGGGGTTGGGCTGGCCTTCTCTCTTTCCTTCCTCCTTCCCTCCCTCTTTCTCCCTCCCTCCTTCTCTTCCACCATTTTGTCCTTCTTTCCTTCCCTCTTTCCTCCCTCCTTCCCTTCCCTCCCTCTTTCTCCCTCCCTCCATTCTCTTCTTCTCTCCCTCCCTCCCTTCTTTTTTCTTCCTACTTCCCTTCCACCCTTTTGTCCTTCCTTCCCTTATGTCTTTCCTTTCTTCCCTCTTTCCTTTCTCCTTCCCTCCCTCCCTCCAACTTCCCTCTTTCTCCCTCCCTCCCTTATCTCCCTTTCTCGTTCAATCCTTCCTTCCCTTCCACCCTTTCGTCGTTCCTTCCTTCCCCCTTTCCTCCCTCCTTCCCTCTCTCCCTCTTTCTGCTTCCATCTTTCCCTTCCTCCCTTTTGTCCTCCCTTCTCTCCTTCCCTTCCTTCCTTCCTCCTGCTTCTATCCTTCCTTTCCACCTTTTCATCCTTCCTTCCCTTTTGACTTTCCTTCCCTCCCGTTTCCCTGCCTCCTTCCCTCGCTCCCTTTCTCCTTCCATCCTTCCATTCCTCCCTTTCGTCTTCCCTTCTTTCTCTTTTCTTTCTCGTTCCCTTCCTTCCATCCTCCTCTTCCTTCCTTTTGTCCTTCCTTCCTTCCTTCTCTCTTTCCTTCCTTCCCTTCCCTTCCATCCTCTCTTTCACCCTTCCTTCCTTTTCTCTTTCCTTTCTCCTTTCCCTCCTTCCATCCTTCTCCTGCTCCCTTTCGTTCCTTTCTTCTCCCTTTCCTTCCTCCTTCCATTCCTTCCTTCCATCCTTCTCTTCCTCCTTTTCTTCCTTCTCTCCTTCCTCCTTCCCTTCCTTCCTTCAATCACCGGGCAGCCAGTCCTCTTAGCAAGGAGTGCTAGCATGTGGCCCCTCAAGTTAGAAAGTTTGCCCATGCCTTTCTAATGCCTTTGATGTTGGATGGCCATCTGTTGGGAGGGATCGGATTGTGTCCTGCCTGGCAAAATGGATGGCTTTTGTGGTCTCTGCAATTCTAGGGAGGGACGACTGGGACTTTCTAAAAGGATGACAACGGATGAATACATTTGACTTTTCCCCATCAAATCTGAGGGATGTGCCAATGCTAATAGTAATAATAACAATAATAATTTCCTCATCAAATGTGAAAGGTGTGCCAATAATAATAATTTTGATGATGATGATCATTATTATTATTATTATTATTATTATTATTATTTGATGATGATGATGATGATGATGATGATGATGATGATGATGATGATGATGGTTGTAAAGCAAGCTGTGTCTAGAAAGTCTGAAAAGCTTGGGAAGGAGGGGGAGAGAGGAAGGGAGGCAGGAAATAGCTCGTAAGTGAGTGGAATTGCTCTTAATCTAATTAGGCCGTTTCTCCAGGTCTGTTTTCCCTTTCTTCCCTCCCCTTTCCCTTTCCTTCCTTCCTTTGCTCCCTTCCAGACATCTGCTCCTCTTTAGCCCTTTTGGCCTCCTGCCGAGGGAGGTTCATCTCTCGCACGTGCGGACAGCCAAAGCCGGGAAGAGGGGCAAGAAGGGGGTCCTAGTTGCATGCTGATATGCAATGGAAAAGCACCATTCGACCCCTCCCAATAGATGGGCTTCCAGCCTGATAGAAGGTCCATGGAGCACTAGGGCTATAGCATCATAGGATCCTAAAGCTGGAAGGGAACCCCGAGGGCCATCCAGTCCAACCTCCATCTGTTAGGTAGGAAGACACAATCTGATCCCTCCCGACAGATAGCTGTCCAATCTCATAGACATCAGAAGGTCCATGGAGCAATAAGGCTATAGCATCATGGGATCCTAGCCATCCAGTCCAACCTCCTTCTGTTAGGTAGGAAGACACAATTCGATCCCTCCCGACAGATTGCCGTCCAGCCTCATAGACATTAGAAGGCCCATGGAACAATAGGGTTATTGCATCACAGGATCCTAGAGTTGGAAGAGAGCCCAAGGGGGGACATCCAGTCCAACCTCCTTCTGTTAGGCTGGAAGACACAATTTGATCCCTCCAGAAAGATGGCTGTCCAACCTCATTAGAAGGTTCATGGAGCATCATAGAATCTATAGCATCTATAGCATCATAGAATCTCAAGAGTTGGAAGGGAACCCCAAGGACCATCCAGTCCAACACAATTCGATCCCTCCCAACAGATGTCCATCTAGCTTCTGCTTTAAAAATTACACCATTGAATCCTAGGGTTGGAAGATAAAGCGGAGTATAAATAAATAAATAATCATATGAGACTTCAAAGCCCATCCAGTCAGTCCAACCCCTTGTCAGTCCAACCGCTTTAAGATAGATAGATAGATAGACAGACAGACAAAATCCTAGAGTTGAAAGAGACCCCAAACGCCACCCCCTTGAAAAAAGACACCATCCGATCCCTCCCGACAGATGGCCATCTAGCTTTTGCTTAAAAAACAAACAAACCATAGCATTATTGAGTCCTGAGGTTAGAAGAGAACCCCAAGATCCATCTAGTGCAGCCTCATTTCCACCAGGGGGAAGACACCATTAAAGCTCTCCCAACAGATGGCCATCCAGCTTTAAAAATAAATGCAAATGTGCAGAGTGTATTTTCTTTTCCTACCACTGATACACTCTGCTTGTTCTGGCCCGCTGTCAGTCACGACCGACCCGCCTTCGGACGTCCATGTGAGCCGGGTGGGAGACCTGGAGGACCAGCTAAGTGTACGCTGGAGCGCCCCGCCAGCCCTCAAAGACTTCCTCTTCCAAGCCAAGTATCAGATCCAGTACCGGGTGGAGGACAGCACCGAGTGGAAGGTGAGGCTGGCTTTACCACTGGGATATGTATTAATAACCTGTTGTTGTTGTTGTTGTTGTTGTTGTTGTTATTATTATTATTATTGCTACTACTACTATTCCGACATACAATCTGTTTCTCCACTTGCAGGTAGTGGACAACATGGGCAACCAGACCTCCTGCCGCCTGGCTGGCCTAAGACCCGGCACAGTCTACTTTGTCCAAGTCCGCTGCAACCCATTTGGCATCTATGGCTCCAAGAAAGCCGGCATCTGGAGCAGCTGGAGCAACCCCACCGCTGCTTCCACCCCACGGAGTGGTGAGCAATCCCCCCCATTAGTTGCTGTAGCTTGAGAATGGGGCACAGCCTGGGTGGCCATCTGTCAGGAAGATTTTGATTGTGCCTTTCCATATCAGAGAGGGGTTAGACTGGATGGCCCTTGGAGGCCCCTTCCAGCTTTAGGATTCTACAGTCTTTAGCATGGAGGCTGGATGGCCATCTGTTCAGAGGGATTGGATTGTGTCTTCCCTCCTATTAGGAGGGGGTAGGACTGGATGGTCCTTGGGAGTCCCTTCCAACTCTAGGATTCTATGACATGTTTGTTAACATAGGCTGGGTGGACATCTGTCGGGAATGTTTTGATTGTGCTTTTCCTGCAGATGAGAAGAGGTGGACTGACTGACCTTTTGGGGTTCCTTCTAACTTTAGAATTATTCACATGGAGGCTGGATGGCCATCTGTCAGGAGGCATCTGATTGTGTCTTCCTTCCTGGTAGAAAAAGGATTGGACTTGATGACCTTTGGGGGTCCCTTCCAACTCTAGCATTCTATGACGTGTTTGTTAACAGAGGCTGGATGGCCATCTGTCAGGAAAGTTTTGATTGTGCCTTTCCTGGCTATCAGAAGGGGGTTAGACTGGATGTCCTTTGGGGGAATCCCTTCCAACTCTAGGATTCTACAGAAGTCTTTAAATGGAGACTAGATGGCTATCTGTTGGGAGGGATCGGATGGTGTCTTCCTTCCTGATAGAAAAGCGTTGGACTGGATGACCTTTGGGGGTCCCTTCCAACTCTAGGATTCTATGACATCTGTTTGTTAACAGAGGCTGGATGGCCATTTGTCGGGAGAGATTGGATGGTGTCTTCCTTTCTGGTAGAAGGTTGGACTGGATGATCTTTGGGGAATCCCTTTCAACTCTAGGATTCTATGGAGGTCTTTCCATGGAGGCTGGATGTCCATCTGTTGGGAGGGATCGGAGTGTGCCTTTTTTCTGGCAGAAGGGGGTTGGACTGGATGGCTCTTAGGGGTCCCTTCTAACTCTAGGATTTTATGACATATGTTTGTTAACAGAGCATGGGTGGCCATCTGTAGGGAAGGTTTTATTGTACTTTTCCAGCATAACAGAAGGGGTTGGACTGGATGTTCTTTGGGAGTCTCTTCCAACTCTAAGATTCTATGGAGGTCTTTCCATGGAGGTTGGATGTCCATCTGTCGGAAGGGATCAGATTGTGTCTTCCTTCCTGGCAGAAGGGGGTGGATTGGATGGCCTTTGGGGGATCCCTTCCCACTTTTGGATTCTATGGAGGCTGGCTGGCCATTTGTCAGGAGGGATCAGATGATGCCTTCCTTCCTGGCAGAAAGGGAGTGGACTGGATGGCCTTTGGGGGTCCCTTGGCTCCGGAAATCCAAGGAGACAGCCCTGAAACAAGGGAAGGCCTAGCTTCCTCGTCCGCTGCCCGGCACCTGGGTTTCTTGTCCAGGAGCCAAGCAAGAGAGAGCCAGGTCCCGCTTTCCCCTTCTGGGGAGGTCCGTGCCTCCGCCGCCTTCTCTTTCCAAATGGCCTTTTTTGCAGCGAGGAAGTCACGCTCGTCTCAGTGTCCGACCCGGAAAGGTGTTTTGCTCATTTCCCAGGACAATAATAATGGAACGCATTTCCTTCTGGTTCTCATACTGGCCTGTTTACTGGGCAACTGAGACTACAGGACGGAGAGCATCTTAATGTATGAGACTGGGATATTTTCCCACCCTCAGAGCCCCCGGGGCTGTTGGATTGGCTCTGTAAATGGCTAAGGCTCAGTGGCTCTACTGATGCGCTCAAGAGGCTTCTAATCCGCAGAACTGCTGTTACTGTTGTTGTTTATTTACAATGTTTTGTTTTTTTAAAGAAAGAAACAAGAATAAAAGTCAGTCCCTGAATCCAAGAGCTGGCCAATTTCCGATCTAGATATGTAGTTTTTTTCAATGACTTTTTTAAAGCTCTACTCTGCAAATTGATGAAGCTCAATGGCTCTGCTGCTGGCACAAGGAGCTTCTGATCTGTGGAACTGCTGCCACCAATGCTGTTGCTCTACCTTTTTGAATGCTTTCCCCCTCCTTTTTTTCTGGGAATCTTCTCCCCTACAAAGAGTTATATAATCTGTCAAGCCACTTCCTTCCTCCTTTCAAGCCACTTCCCGCCTCCATTTGAGCCACTTTCTGCATCCATTCAACCCATTTCCCATGTCCATTCGTGCTTCTTCCTGCATCCGTTCAGGCTTCTTTCTGGGTCCATTCAACCCACTTCCTGTGTCCGTTCCATCCATTTCCCGCATCAGTTCAACCCACTTCCCACGTTTGTTTGAGCCACTTTCTGTGTTTGTTCAATCTACTTTCCACATCCGTTTGACCTCCTTCCCACATTTGTTCAATCCACTTCCTACATTTGTTTGAGCTACTTCCACATCCATTCCACTCACTTCCCACATCACACATCACAGTTCTGTTCCATCCACTTCCCACGTCCATTTGAGCCACTTCCATAGTTTGTTCAAGCCACTTTCTGCGTCTGCTTGAGCCACTTCCCACATCTGTTCATCCCACTTTCTGAGTCTGTTCGACCCACTTCCCGCGTTTGTTCACGCTGCTTCCCATATCCATTTAACCCACTTCCTGCGTCCATTGATCCATTTCCCACGTCCATTTCACTCACTTCTCATGTCCTTTCCATCCACATCCCACGTCCATTCCATCCACTTCCCAAGTTCGTTCAACCCACTTCCCACATTTGTTCGAGCACTTCCTGCATTTGTTTGACCTATGTTCCGCATCTGTTCGACCCCCTTCCCACGTCCGTTCGACCCACTTCCCATGTTTCTTCAAGCTACTTTCCACATCCCTTCTTCACTTCCAACGCCCATCCCATCCACTTCCCATGTCCTTTCCACCCACTTCCCATGTCCGTTTGACCCACTTCCCACATCTGTTAAACCCACTTCCCGTGTTTGTTCAAGCGACTTTCTGCATCCGTTCGACCCATTTCCCACTGCTATTCAACCCACTTCCCACATCTGTTCCACTCACTATTATGGTCTTTTTCATCCTCATCCCACGTCTTTTCCATCTACTTCACATGTCCATTTGACCCACTTCCCGTATTTGTTCGAGCTACGTTCTACATCCGTTCGATCCACTTACTACATTTGTTTGAGCTACTTCCCACATCCATTCCATCCACTTCCCACATCCATTCCATCCACTTCCCGTGTCCATTCAACCCACTTCACACGATAGTTCCACTCACTTCCCATGTTTGTTCCATCCACATCCCGCATGCTTTCCACCTGCTTCCCATGTTTGTTCGACTCACTTCCCACGTTTATTCGACTCACTTCCCGTGTTTCTTTGAGCTACTTTCCACATTCCTTCCACATTTGTTTGAGCTTCTTTCCATGTCAGTTCCACCCACTTCCTGTATCTTTTTCACCTTCAGGACGGGCACCAGGCGTCTGCGAACCCAAGAGCGGGGAGCACAACAACACCTTGCGGCGCGAGCTTAAGCAGTTCTTCGGGTGGATGCGCAAACACGGGAGCTGCGCCAACCTGAGTATCAAGATGTATGACCAGTGGCGGGTCTCGCTCCAGAAGTCCCACAAAACACGGAACCAGGTAGGTAAGGACTTCCTGTGTTCTCCTCCAAAGAGTGGCAGCAGCATTTACAACAAGCAAGTACCGTAAGCACCTTTCATTGCATGACAATCACACTCCTATTTTGGGGGTGGAGAAATTGGTATTTTTGTATTCCTCACATAATAGTCACAGAGCAAAACTACAGAATGCTATATAGTACTGTATTATACTTTATAATACTGTATAGTATTTTATTATATAGTTTAAGTGAACAAATATTGCTGGTACCTAATGCATAATACCACTATAGTATCATACTACCATATAATATTATAATGATATTATAATATAATAAAAATTCCAATATATAATATAACTAGCTTGGGTACCTGGCGATGCTTGGGTTATTTATTTTGAGTGTTAAGTAATGCTCCCATTAGAAAATGCATAAGGATGTGGGTGGACTACAATTCCCAAAACCGTGTGTCAATCCTCCCCAAAGCAGGCCTGTATGCACAGTTGGGCATGTTACATCTGTGTGCCAAGTGTGGTCCAGACCTATTGTTGGCTGGCTTCATTGCTCTCTGAATAAGGGTGAACTACAACTCCTATATGAAAGGGACAATCACCCCCAAGCTGTGCCAGTATTTACAGCTGGCCATGTTAGGTCTGTGTGCCAAGTTTGGTCCAGATCCGACATTGGCCGGGTTCAATGCTATCTGGATGCAGGTGAACTAAAACTCCCAAAATCATGGTCAATTCCCACAGACCCCAGTTGGTTCAGTTGGTCATGGGGCTTCTCTGTGCCAAGTTTGGTCCCGGTCCATTGTCAGTGGGGGGGTCACAGTTTCTCTGGATGCAGGTAAACTACAACTCCCAGATTCCCAGGGCAATCACCCCCAAACGCCACCTGTATTCATAGCTAGGAAGTTGGGTCTGTGTGGCAAGTGTGGTCCAGATCAGTTATTGATGAGGTTCAGAGTGCTCTGGATACAGGGTGAACTACAATTCCTACACACGTGTGTCATTCCCTCCCCAAGCCCTCCAGTATGTTCTGTTGGCCATCAGGGTTCTGTGTGCCACGTGTGTTCCAGATCCGCCATTGGGGGCTTCAGAATGCTCTCTGAGTGCAGGCTGAACTACAACTCCCATGTGGGTGGGTTAGTTCTCACGCAAACTCTTACAGCATGTTCTGTTGGCCATGAGGATTTTGTGTGGGTCGCTGTGGTCTAGAAGTGAGTGAAAGTACAGCAAATCCCATCAAGTGTGGCCCAGATCCATCGTTGGTTGGGTTCACAGTGCTGTCTGGATGTAGGTGAATTACAATTCCTATAACTCATGGTGAATTCTTCCGAAACCTCTTGTTCCGTTGCTGATCAATTCCTTTTTGCTGTGTGCCATAGGAAAGAGTAGGAAAGAGTTGAGGGAGAGGCAGTGGGTAGGGTCATGCAAATTCCACAGCAATGGAAAGAGTAAGGAACCCTGGGATGTCCATTCTGGAGGTCTTTGGGGGGATTTGTACGACTTGTAGTTCACCTACATCCAGAGCGCATTATGAACCCAAACAATGATGGACCAAACTTGGCATGCATACCCAATATGCTTAAATTTGAATAGTGGTGGGTTTTGAGGAGAATTGGCCTGGGCATTTCGGAGTTGTACTGGGATTTATAGTTCACCTGCAATCAAGGAGCACTCTGAACTCCACCAAGGATGGAATTGGATCAAACTTGGCACACAGAGCCCACGTGATCAGCAAAAAATACTGGAGATATTTGGGGGGAATTCACCTTGATTTAGGGGATTTGTAGTTCACCTACATCTAGAGAGTACTGTGAGCCCAAACACCAATGGATCTGGAACACATTTGGCACACACACTTGATATCTCGAAATTTGGGGGGTTTGGGAGGAGCTGACCTTCCTTTCTGGGAGTTGTAGTTCACCCACAACTAGAGAAACTGTGACCTCCACCGATGATGGACCTGGACCAAACTTGGCACACAGAGCCTCCATGATTAACTCAACCTAATGGAGGGCTTTGAGGGGACTGACTCACCATAGTGGGAGTTGTAGTTTACCCAACAGACAGAGAGCACACAGAGCCCCACCAATGATGCATCCAGAGCAAACTTGCCCAACATCAGAAACTTTAAGTACTAATGGAGTTTCTTGGAGTTAACCTGGCATGGTGGGAGTTGTAGTTCACCCATAACCTGATGCATTTTTTACAATTACAAAATTGACTTTTTCAAATTACCTTAGCAACACCGGGGACCCAAGCTATATTATATAGTACTATATGAGTGCTTTGTGCTCATAAACCTCAGCGTTCCTGAACCCTTATACCCAAACTAATCCCAAACTCTCTTCCCCAGGTCCTATCCGGTGATAAATCCTAGCCAGGTTGGAAGAGTTTCCCCAAAGCTGACAGTTGTGGACAATATGGGGAATCACACCAATCCGCCGCCATGATTGGGATGAAGCAATGGGGTCTTTTGTGAGACACGGGTCTGGCCATAAATGTGACTTTCAGCAGGCCATTGTATCTTCCTGCTCATTCTGACCCATAGATGTACAAATGTACAAATATTTATATACGGACTTATATGTTGCCTTTCGAGGCTTTCCTTTTCCATGCGAGCCCAGATCTGACCCGGAAGGCTGAAAACTCTCTAGTATGTGTTAACAATAAAACTTTGTCTATTTCTCCACGAACCTTGTGTTTTGGAGGCTGGATGGCTATCTGTTGGGAGGGATCGGATTGTGTCTTCCTTTGGGGAAGAAGCGGGTTCGACTGGCCCTTTGAGTCTCCTTAAGGAGAAAGAAAGCCAGATATAAATAAGCATAATAATACTAATAATACTAATACTACTACTAATAATGGCGCTGACAAATTACCATCTGCCAGCTGCAAAAGGCCACCTTACTGGGATCTGCACGCATTCGCCGATACATCACACAGTCCTAGACACTTGGGAAGTATCCGACGTGTGATCCAATACAACAGCCACAGAGTGATTTTGTTTGCTGTGGACTCATCTTGTTGTGTTTCAAATAATAATAATAATAATAATAATAATAATAATAATAATAATAATAATAGCTCTATTTCTCCATTGACCTGCTTATGTCTATGAGGACAGATGTCCATCTGTCAGGAGGGATTGAATTGTATCTTCCTTTGAGGAAGGAGGTTGGACTGGATGGCCTTTGGGGATCTCTTCCCACTAGAATCCTATGATTCTATAGCCTTATTTCTCCATGAACCTGCTAATAATGTCTTATGAGGCTGGATCTCCATCTGTCGGGAGGGATCGAATTGTGCCTTCCTTTGGGTGGGCCTTCAGGAGTCTCTTCCAATTCTATGATTTGATCTTATAGCCCTATTTCTCCATGAACCTGCTAATGGCTATCGGTCGACAGGGAACGGATTGTGTCTTCCTTTGGGGAGGGAGGTTGGAATGGCCCTTTGAGTCTCCTTATGGAGAGAAAAAGTAGGACATACATACACATAATAGTAATAATAATAGCTCTATTTCTCCATGGACCTGCCAATGTCAATGAGGCTGGATGGCCATCTGTCGGGATGGATTGGATTGTGTCTTCCTTTGTGGACGAAGGAGGTTGGACCGGCCTTTTGAGTCTCCTTATGGAGAAAGTAGCATATACATAAACATAATAAAAAATAATGATAGCCCTATTTCTCCATGGACTTGCTAATGTCTATGGGACTGCATGGTCATCTGTTGGGAGGGATCGGATTGTGTCTTCCTTGGGGAAGATGGAGATTGGATTGGGTGGCCTTTCCCATTCCAGGATTCTATAGCCCTATATCTCCATGAACCTGATAACATTCATTAGTTTGGATGGCCATCTGTTGGGATGGATCGGATTGTGTGTCTTCCTTTGTGGACGAAGAAGGTTAGACTGGCCTTTGTGTCTCCTTATGGAGAGAGAAAACGGGATATAAATAAACCAAACAATAATAATAATAATAATAATAATAACAGCCCTATTTCTCCATGAACCAGCTAATGTCTTATGAGGCTGGATGTTGAGAGGGATCGAATTTTGTCTTCCTTTGGGGAAAGAGGAGCCTGGATTGGGCAGGCCTTTGGGGGTCTTCTTCCCATTCTGTGATTGAATCCTATAGCCCTATTTCTCTCCATGAAGCTTCCAATGTCTATGAAGCTGGATGGCCATCTGTCGGGAGGGATCGAATTGTGTCTTCCTTTGGGGAAGAAGGAAGTTGCATTGGGTGGGCCTTTGGAGGTCTCTTCCAATTCTATGATTGAATCCTATAGCCCTATTTCTCTCCATGAAGCTTCTAATATGAAGCTGGATGGCCATCTGTCGGGAGGGATCGGATGGTGTCTTCCTGCCCAACAGAATGGAGTTTGGACTAGATAACCCTTGGGAGTCCTTTCCCAGCTATTCTATGATCCCACATTCTGCAGAGATGGATCAGGTGGCTGCAAAAAGAACGAAACTCATCAAGAAAGCAAGTTTTTTACTTTTTTATTGATGGAAAAACAGAGGGAATCGTTCAGCCAAGGAAAGGGGAATGATGATGACATGAACCCCTCCCAGTTTAGTTCCAGTCTAGACCAGTTATAGGTGGCACCTGGAAGGCCGTCCCCGTCTTCAACCCGCGTCCCGTCAGCCGCTCTCTTCCGAATCGTACTTGAAGTCCTGGAGCGTTTCGCTGATTGCCTCGATGGTTTGAATTAGCCTGCCGCGAGCCGGATGGAAACCATAAATAAAAAGAAAGCCCTGCATCTGGAGCCCATTAAGCCCACCTCCCCGGGCCTTTTGTTTATGGAACGATATGCGGGTAAAAAGGGGGGGAATGCAAGGGTTGGAAAGGATGCCAAGCCCGTCGAAGCCAACCCGTGTCCAATCGAGATGCAAAGGGCCTTTGCGGGGCCCCTTCCCAAAGAAAGGAGAGAAAGCACAAGGATATAGCCTTGACCCCCATTGGTCTCCATTCTGATTTGCAAGGTTGTGCTTGGGTGGTTTTGCCGATCTTTTGTTTTCTACAATCAAACTCTTTAGCATACAATCATAGAATAGTACAAGCTTGGAAGGGAACCCCAAAAGTCATCCAGTTGAACCCCCTTCTGCCAGGAAGGAAGATCACTATCCGATCCCTCCCGACAGACGACCAGAAGGGGAAACATATAAAAAATAACATTGTAATGTAATAATATTATTATAATATTAATAATGTTGTAATATAATATATTATATATACTACAACTTATGATATAGTACAATATATTATATAATACTAATAGCATAATATAAAAGGTTTACACTGGAGCCCCCACTGGCACAGTGGGTTAAACCCCTGTGCCGGCAGGACTGAAGACCGACAGGTCGCAGGTTCAAATCCGGGGAGAGGTGGATGAGCTCCCTCTATCAGCTCCAGCTCCTCATGCGGGGACATGAGAGAAGCCTCCCACAAGGATGATAAAAACATCAAATCATCTGGGCGTCCCCTGGGCAACGTCCTTGCAGACAGCCAATTCTCTCACACCAGAAGCGACTTTCAGTCGCTCCTGACACGACAAACATACATACATACATACATACATACATACATATATATAAATAAGGTAAAGGTTTTCTTTCCCCTGACAGTAAATCTAGTCATGTCCAACTCTGGTAGTTGGTGCTCATCTCCATTTCTAAGATGAAGAGCCAGAGTAGTCTATCGACACCTCCAAGGTCATATGGCCAGCATGACTGGATGGAGTGCTGTTACCTTTCTGCCGGAGTGGTACCTATTGATCTACTCACATTTGCATGTTTTCGAACTGCTAGGTTGGCAGAAGCTGGTGCTAACAGCGGGAGTTCACCCCGCACCCTGGATTTAAACTGGCGACCTTTCGGTCCATAAGTTCAACAGCTCAATGGTTTAACCCACTCCGCCACCGGGGGCTCCATAATATACTGGTAGTGCATTATATATACTGTGGCATAATAATATAGTACAATATAATAATATATAATAATATGACAAAGGTATATTATATATTACATGTTTATTACTAGAAATGTGTTATTAATTTACTGTGTTACTAGCTGTACCCGCCACGCGTTGCTGTGGCCAACCTTCCCTCTTTCTCTCCTTTTCTTTCTTTTTCTCTTTCCTTCCCTCCCTCTTTCCTTCCCCCCTTTTCTTTCCCTTCTCCTTTCTTCCTTCTCTACCTCCTTCCTTCCTTCCTTTGCTCTTTGGTTCCATCCTTCCTTCTCTCTTTCCTTCCTTCCCTCTCTCTTTTCTTCCTTCCTTCTCTTTTTTTCTTTCCTTCGTTCCTTCCTTCCTTCTCTACCTCTTTCCTGCGTATCCCTCTTTTTCTTTTCCTCCCTTATTCTCTCCTTCCTTACTTCTCCACCTCTTTCCTTCCTTGCTTGCTTCTCTGCTTTATTCCTTCCTTCCCTCTTTCCTTTCCTCCTTCCTTCCCCTTTTTCCTCCTTCATTCCTTCCCTCTAGACATAGGCTGGAAAAGAGTTGGGCTCAAAGGCAGTGCTTGAGAGAAGTGCATCCCAAGGTTGTACTCCATGGTTAGTAAGCCGTGCATCTGTATTGTCATTTAGCTTTTTTGGGTTGTTAAGTTCTTTCTGTTGCTTTTTTTTGGGGGGGGGGTGTTAATGGGTGATGGTCACCCGTTGGCCTGATAGGTTTATTGTGTCCAAATTTGGTGTCAATTCGCCCAGTGGTTTTTGAGTTATGCTAATCCCACAAATGAACATTACATTTTTATTTATATAGATTATTTTTGATATAGATGTGGATTTGTTTTTGGGATGTATCTAAATAGAGAGTTAAAGATATATTTCTGATGAGTCCCTTATAATAGATGAAATAGGGTATACATCTAAATAGATATAGCACCTTTTAATGGAAGAAATATGGTATGTAGATAGATACATGTGTGTGTGTGTGTGTGTGTGTGTGTATATATATATATATCTTGATGAGCCCCATGGTGAGAAAACATCGCCCTCTGATGGTAGATACCAAAATGCACCTTATAATAGAAGAAATACGCCTTATAATAGAAGAAATACAGTATGTATCTAAATAGATAGAGTAATATATTCCAGATGAGACCCATGGTTAGAAAATAGCATCCTCTAGTGCAGTGGTTCTCAACCTGGGGTCCCCAGATGTTTTTGGCCTACAACTCCCAGAAATCCCAGACAGTATACCAGCTGTTGGGATTTCTGGGAGTTGAAGGCCAAAAACATCTGGGGACCCCAGGTTGAGAACTACTGCTCTAGTGGTAGATCCCAAGTACCATACAAATATATATACTATATTCCTGATGCATTCCATGGTTAGAAAACAGCACCTTCTAGTGGTGATCTCAAAATGCACACCTTTGATAGCACCTTATAATGGAAGAAATATGGTATGTATCCAAATAGATAGAGTAAAATATTCCTGATGAATCCCATGGTTAGAAAACACTGCATCTAGTGGTAGGTCCCAGATACTATACAACCGCAAACAACTGATTGTCCCTTATATTGGAAGAAATAGGTACAGTATGTATCTAAATAGATACAGAAATATATTTCTGATGACACCCATGGTTAGAAAACAGCGCATTCTGGTGGCAGATCCTGGGTACTATACAAATGCAAACAATTGGATGGTCCGTCATAATAGATGGAATACGGTATGTATTTAAATTGAGTAATATATTCCTGATGAGTCCCATGGCTAGAAAACAGCGCCCTGTAGTGATAGATCCCAGGTACTATATAAATGCAAGCAATTGATGGGCCCTTACAATAGAAGAAATACAATATGTATCTAAACAGATATGGCACCCTATAATTGAAGAAATACGGTATGTATCTAAATAGAGACAGATATATTCCTGATGAATCCCCTCGGAGCGGCTTACATGGGGCCAAGTCCGGTGGGGTATTATAATGGAAGAAATACAGTATGTATCCAAATAGAGATATATAACTCAATGAATGCCAAGGTTAGAAAACAGCACCCACTAGTGGTAGATCTCAAAATGCACACAAGTGATGGCCCCATATAATAGAAGAAATACGGTATGTACCTGAATAGAGAGATAGATACATTCTTGAGGGGTCCCATGGATAGAAAAGTGTCTAGTGGTAAACCCCAGGTACTATACAAATGCAAACAATTGATGGTGCCTTATAATTGAAGAAATACGGTATATATCTAAATAGATAAATATATTCCTGATGAGCCCCATGGTTATCTCCCAGGTAATACACAAACCAATACCGTATTTCCTCAAGTATAAGAGGCATTGTATAAACATTTCCATACACTTACTTGTGTTTCAGCCCCCGGACCTCTTGAGTGTGGGTCTCCACTTCAGGGTGGTCCTGAGCGTTCTGCTTGGCCAGTTGGAGCTGCGCTGTCTGGGAAAAGAAGGAATGACGAATAACGATGGACGGAGGACAACATCATGACATAATAATAATAATAATAATAATAATTATTATTATTATTATTATTATTATTATTATTATTATTATTTGAAACACAACAAGATGAGTCCACAGCAGACAAAATCACTCTGCTGGCTGTTGTATTGGATCACACATCAGATTATCATTATTATTATTATTATTACTATTATTCCTTCCTGGCATGGCATGGCATTCAGACAAGACGACCCTTGCAACTCTTCCGATTTTACAGCTCTTATTATTATTATTATTTATTAGAGTCATAAAATCAGAAGAGTTGTGAGGGTCACCTCATCTATTAATTATACACACACACACTTTGTCCTCCCTTCCTTTGTGGAAAAATATATTACTTTTATAGTACAGGTTGAGCCTCTCTTATGCCATCTATTTATTTATTTATTTATTTGGTACACTTATATACCGCTAGTATCTCAGCCTAGAACGGCGACTCACTGCGGTTAACAACATTTAAAACAACAATATTCCGATTAAAAATATAAAAACATATACATATATAATACACAGTATTGGGCCACCAATACAGACCAGTGCATCTCTTAAGTAAAAAACCACAATCCAATTCGTTGTCGGTAATTGCCAGTCCTTGGTCAAAAACAACATCGTGACAGATTAGCCGAATACTTGCTCAACATCCATGTTTTTAGTTTTTTCCGAAATATCATCAGTGAGGAGGCTGATCTTATCTCTGTAGGGAGGGCATTCCAAAGCCGCGGGGCCACCACAGAAAAGGCCCTGTCTCTCGTTCCCGCCAACCGCACCTGTGAAGCAGGCGGGATGGAGAGAAGGGCCTCTCCCGAAGATCTTAGGGTCCTGGTGGGCTGATAGGCCGAGATACGTTCGGATAGATATGTTGGGCCAGAACCGTTTAGGGCTTTAAAGGCCAATGCCAGCACTTTGAATTGGGTCTACATTATTATTATTAATTATTATTATTATTGAGAACAGTTCAGGCTACACTATTATTATTATGGGGAACGGCTGTTTACACTACTATTAATATTATTATTATGGAGATCGGCTCAGTCTACACTACTATAAATATTATTATTATTATTATTATTATTATTATTATTGAGATCGGCTCAGTCTACACTATTATTATCATCATTATTACAGAGAATGGCTCAGTCTACACAATGATGATGGAGAATGGCTCATATTATTGCTATTATTAATAATAATATCCTGTTTGGTAGTGATGTGCAGAGGAAGGGGCTTGCACTCACCAGTTGCAGCTTCTCACTCTCTTGCTCCTGGATGCGGGTCAGATGCCGGGCCAGGTCCCTCCGCCCATGAGGCCCCTCCAGTTGGGCCTTGATTCCCAGGATCTCCTGGGAGATCCCGGTGAAGGCTGCTGTGATCTCATGGACCAGCTGCCGGTACTGTGGGAAGTCGTAATCCGGACCACTCCGGAGGTAGGCCTGGTGACCCCTGTGGAGGAGGAAGAGTAGATGCAGTCATAGTAGAATAATAATAATAATAATAATAATAATAATAATAAGTGTGTGTGTGTGTGTGTGTGTGTGTGTGTGTGTGTGTGTGAAATCCAGTATATATATCTTGTTTGCTGTGTCATACTGTGTTTTCTGTACGTAAAATAATAATAATGTGTGTGAAAAATGTATCATAAAATCTTAAGACTTGGAAGAGACCTCCCTAAGGGCCACCCAGTCCAACCCCCTTCTGCCAGGAAGACACCTTCTGATCCCTCCAGACAGATGGCCATCAGCTATAGATATGACAGATAAGACTGAGGGATACGTAGGATAGGTATACCATAGAATCCTAGGGTTGCAAAAGACCCCCAAGGGCCATCCAGTCCTTCTGCCTGGCAGGAAGACACCATCAAAGCCCTTCCAACAGATGGCCATCCTGAATCATACTCAACACATATAATCATCATCATCATCATCATCATCATCATCATCATCATATTATTATTATTATTATTATTATTATTATTATTATTCCAAATCAGCAACGTATCCTTCATCCTATTATTATTATATCCACATCTCCGTCATCCTGTTGCTATTAGTATTAATATTAATATTCCCAATCAGCAATGTCTCCTTCTTAATCCTATTATATTTTATTATGATTATGACTGTATTATATATTATTCTATTTTCTTATAGTATTATTATTATATTGTTTTACTACTATTTTATTATATTTTTATATTATATATTTCCAACATTATTCTTATTTCTCTTCCTGTTGCTATTATTATTATTCTCTTTTCAGATCAGGAGCATCTCCTTTTTCAACTTATATTATTATATTTTATTATGATTATGATTGTATTGTATATTATTATTATTATTAGTAGTAGTATATTGTTTTATTATTTTATCATATATTACTATCATATATTTTTCTTATATTATTACTATTATTATTTCTCTTCCAGTTGCTATTATTATTATTCCAGATCAGCAACATTTCATCCTATTATTATCATATTTTATTATATTATGATTTTTGACTTTTTAAATATTTTCTTATATTATTATTATTTTTCTTTACGTTGCTATTATTATTCTCCTTCTTCATCCTATTGCTGTTGTTGTTGTTGTTGTTATTATTATATTTTCTTCTTTCCACATCTCCTTCATCCTGTTGCTATTATCATTATTGTTGTTGCTGTTGTTGTTGTTGTTGTTGTTGTTGTTATTCCAGATCAACAACTCACTCTTCAAAAAGGCGATAGGCTTCCACCCGTTCGCTCTGCAAGGCATAGAAGCGGCGCACCAGGGCTTGCGTGTCCTCTCCCAGCTAGAAAAGTAATGGGAAAAAGGTCAATAAAAGGGAGCCAATGCACAAATACATTATTATTATTATTATTATTATTATTATTATTATTATTATTATTATTATGCTTTCAAATAAACACAAAACAATGATTGGTATTTATTTATCATGTCAGCAGCAAATTGAGAATACAGTTGGTCCTTTCATTACTGGCTATGTCCCTATGGATGTCAGGTGGTGTAATACAAGCTGAACAGTATAATTTGTCCAGCAGGTTGAGCTTCCTTTGTCAGCTCCAACTCCCCATGTGGGGACATGAGAAAAACTTCCCACAAGGATGGTAAAACATCAAACATCCGGGCATCCCTGGGCAATGTCCTTGCAGATGGCCAATTCTCTCACACCAGAAGCGACTTGCATTTTCTCATGTCGCTGCTGACACAGGGAAAAAATATTATTCCTGCCTGGCATGGCATTCAGGCAGCTTTTTGGATTTTGTAGTTAAACAACACCACCAAAACAACAACACCCACCTGCCCTCTCAGCTTGAGGCAAGGCAAACCATTATTAAATTCATTATTATTATTATTATTATTATTATTATTATTATTATTATTATTATTTCTGTTTGGCATGGTATTCAGACTAGCTGACCCTCACAAGCCTACTGATTTTACAGCTCTAATTAATAATAATAACAACAACAACAACATGATTTGTAGGAGTTGTAGGTACTGGGATGTATAGTTCACCTGCAATCTAAGAGCATTCTGAACTGGAACTAACTTGGCACACGGAACCCCCATAACCAACAAAAAACACTGGAGGTCTTTGGAGGTTTAGAGGACTTGCTGTTCACCTACATCCAAAGCGCACTATGAACCCAAACAACAATGGATCTGGACCAAACTTGCCATGCATACCTGATATGCCCAGTTTAAAATACTGCTGGATTATGAGAGGAATTGGCCTGGACCTTTTGGAGTTGTAGGGACTGGGACTTATAGTCCATCTGCGAACAATGAGCAGGTGTTCCACCAAAGATGGAATTGGACCAAACTTGGCTCACAGAGCCCCCATGAACACCAAAAAATAGTGGAGGTCTCTGGGGGAAAATTCACCTTGATTTGGGAGAGATGTAGTGCACCTACATCCAAAGACCACTGTGAATCCAAACATTGATGGATCTCCACCATTCTTGGTGCACGTACCCGATATGCCAAAATTTGATTACTGGGGGGCTTGGGGGGAACTGACCTTCCTTTCTGGGAAGTGTAGTTCATCCACAACCAAAGAAACGGTGACCTCCACCAATGACAGACCTGGACCCAACTTGGCACACAGAACCCCCACAACTAACTCAACCTACTGGAGGGGTTGGAGATGATTGATTCACCATATTGGAAGTTGTAGTTTATCCTACAGCCAGAGAGCACACTGAACCCCAACTTGCCCAACATAACAAACTTTAAGTACTGATGGTGTTTCAGGGGGTTAACTTGCAAGATGTGAGTTGTAGCTCACCCACAACCTTATTGCAGAATTGACTTTTTCAAATAACCTGGGCAACACAGGGTACCTAAGCTAGTGATTTAAAACAATGTTAATGCAATGTTAGCGGATTTAAATGGGCTCATTGGAAACAGAGCCTTTGATGGACATTCCTTGGATCCCGTCTTGTTTTGATGTTTATTTCTCACGGAATGGAAGCCAGTGCTTTTCATCCCGCCAAACACAGTAAAAGTTGCCAATTCTGTTGCCAAGAAACACCCCATAAGAAATGTTTTTTAGGATCAAAACAGCTGCAATGCTTTGGCGCAGCGCCTTGGCAAAACTTTGCAAAAGGTGGGATCTTTTCCAAAACGCTTCCCAGGAAAAAGACGCTCCAAAAGCCAAAGTTTTCCCCTAATTAAAAAAGAATCATCGCCATGTGGTCTTCAGGCCTCTTTTCCCCAAACCACACTAGGACCATTAAGATGTGCTATTATTATTATTATTATTATTATTATTACTTTTATAATTATTATTATTATCTGTGTATTTTTATATATGCATTTCATGGAAATATGTTTTAATATATGTATTTCACATGTCGTTTTCTAATGATATGTTGATGACGAACAGAGCATACTGCAGGTGTTTATGGGGAGGACAGACCCACCCTGCGTGGGAGTTGTAGTTCACCCTCCATACAAGCACTCTGAACTCCACCGATGACAGATCTGGACCAAACATGGCACACAGAAACCTGATGACCAACACACCATACTGGCAGTGTTGGGGGGTGGGGGGAACAACCCACTCGCATGGGATGTGGTTGTTCACCCTGCACCCAGGATACTCTGAACCCCAATAACAGATCTGGTCCAAACATGGCACACAGAACCCTGGTGAGCAACAGAACATACTGGAGGTGTTTGTGGGGGACTGACCCACCTGCATGGGAGTTGTAGCTCACCTTGCATACAGAGCATTCTGAACCCCACCAATGACGGATCTGGACCAAACATGGCACACGGAACCCTGGTGACCAACTGAACACACTGAAAGAGTTTGGGGAAAGACTAGCCCACCCAGATGGCAGTTGTAGTTCACCCTGCAACCAGAGAGCATTTTCTTGCCCTCAATGGCAGATCTGGAATACACATGGCACACAGAACCCTGATGGCCAACAGAATATACTGGAGGGGTTGGGGAGGGAATGACCCACGTGCGTGAGAGTTGTGGTTCACCCTGCATCCAGAACACGCTGAACCCCATCAACAACGGATCTGGACCAAACTTGGTACACAGGACCAAGATGCCCAAATGTGAAGACAGGCGGAGTTTGGGAGTGATTGCCCTCGAAATCTGGGAATTGTAGTTCACCTGCATCCAGAGAAACTGTGACAATGAACCAGGACCAAACTTGTCACATAGAAGCCCCATGACCAAGTGAACATACAGCAGGGGTTTGTGGGAATTGACCTTGATTTTGGGAGTTGTAATTTATCTGAATCCCGAGAGCACTCAATCCAGCCAATGTCGGATCTAGACCAAACTTGGCACACAGACCCAACATGGCTAACTGTAAATGCTGACAGGGTTTGGGGGTGACTGCCCTTGGCATATGGGAGTTGTAGTTCACTTGCATCCAGAGAGCACTGAACCCAATCATCGACGGATCTGGACCACACTTGACACACAGACCCAACATGGCCAACTGTGCATAGAGGCCTGCTTTGGTGAGGACTGACCCACGATTCTGGGAACTGTAGGTGACCCACAACATTATGTATTTTCTAATGGGATCATTCATAAAAAACAAAATCAAAGACTGGCTTCTTTCTAATAGAGCTACAAATTAACTAAATGATATTAGCTAACACCCCAAAACAAACAATGCCTTTTTCAGATAACCTGGGCACCGCCGGGTACCCAAGTTAGTATTATAATAAATATCATTATTATTTGTATTATTATTTGTATTATCATTATTTGTATTATTATTATATTTTGTTCTGTGTATTTTAATATATGTATTTCACAGAAAAAAATTGTTAAAAATTTGTTTGTTTTTCTTTTTTTGTGTGTTTTTTGTGTATTTTTGTAGTTAATTTTTTTAAGGGGCTATTTGGAATTTTAGCATACTTTTTTGCTTCTTCTTTTTTCTTCATTTCCTCACTTTCCTATACTTTATTGTTCTCACACTTTCGTTGTAATCTATATAAAAATTAATACAATTCTAACGATTTTAAAAATTTGTTAAAAATGTAATACAATTGTCTGGTTGATACTGACACGATAAATAAATAAATACAGAAAAATGTTTTAATAATAATAATAAATGTTATTATTTGTATTATTAATTATAAAAATACATTTTATTATAAAATGTATTATAATAAATATTAATAGTAATTGTATTACTATTTATTTAATCTTTTGTTCTGGGTATTTTAATATATATATTTCACATAAATATATTTTAATATATGCATCTTACATAATGTTTTATAGTGATGTGTTTTTAACTGTGTTGTGCCTCGTCTTGAGGAGAAGCAGGTAAGAAATAATTATAGTAGTAATAATAATAATAATAATATGTTCCAGAAGGAGACAAAATGGACTGTAGCTGAGTAAGTGTAGATTTTTTTTGGACAGGAATGAATGATTCAATACAAATAAATACATGAATAATATTGAGATAAAATAATAATAATAGTAATATGTTTCAGAAGGAGATGACGTGGACTGCATTTGAATAAATGTAGATTTTTGGACATAAATGAATAAATCATTAAAGATAAATAAAATAATATTGTTGAGATAAAATAATAAAATAACAACAAATGAAATAACATACTAATATATAATAATAAAATAAATTAAAATAATAAGAATAATATTATCACAATGTTCCAGAAGGAGATGGCATTGACTGTAATTTAATATAGATTTTTGAACAAATGAATGAAATATAAATAAAATAATATGATTACCATAGAACAGGGGTCCTCAAACTAAGGCCCGAGGGCCGGATACGGCCCTCCAAGGTCATTTACCCGGCCCTTGCTCAGGGTCAATCTAAGTCTGAAACGAAAGCACACAACAACAATTCTATCTCGTCAGCCAAAAGCAGGCCCACACTTCCCATTGAAATACTAATATGTTTATATTTGTTTAAATTGTTCTTCATTTTAATTATTGTATTGCTTTAAACTGGTTTTTGCACTACAAATAAGACATGTACGGTGAGCACAGGAATTCATTCATGTTTTTTTCAAATTATAATCTGACCCTCCAACAGTTTGAGGGACTGTCAGCTGGCCCTTTGTTTAAAAAGTTTGAGGATACCTGCCATAGAGTAATGAAATAATGAAATAATTAAAATAAAATAATAATAAATAAAATATGATGGCCATAAAATAATGAAAATAAAATAATGAATATAATGGTCATAAAATAATATAAGTAATAAAATATAATAATAATAATAATAATAATAATAATAATAATGAATATAACTGCAATAAAATAATATAAACAATAAAAATAAAATAAGATATACAACAATATGATTGGAAAAAAATATGGGTTGTTGTGAGTTTTCCGGGCATGTTTGATTAGCACTGAATGGCCTTGCAGCTTCAAATCCTGCCTGGGAGAATCCTTTGTTAGGAGCTATTAGCTGGCCCTGATTGTTTCTTGTTTTTTGAGTGTTGTTCTTTATTTACTGATTTTAAATAAAGAACAACATTTTGGAGTTTTTTTAATACTGCTAGCCAGATTTTGTTCATTTTCATGGTTTCCTCCTTCCTATTGAAATTGTCCACATGCTTGTGGATTTCAATGGCTTCTCCGTGTCGTCTGACATGATGGTTGTTAGAGTGGTCCAGCATTTCTGTGTTCTCCAATAATATGCTGTGCCCAGCTTGGTTCATCAGGTGCTCTGCTATGGCTGACTTCTCTGGTTGACTTTAGTCTGCAGTGCCTTTCCTGTTCCTTGATTCGCGTCTGCGTTTGGTGTTCCCTATGTAAACTTGTCCACTGCTGCATGGTATACCGCAGATTCCTGCAGAGGTGAGAGGATCCCTCTTGTCCTTTGCTGAACACAGCATGTTAGATTTTCTCAGTGGGTATGTAGATAGTTTGTAGGCTGTGTTTCTTCATCAGCTTCCCTATGCGGTCAGTGGTTCCCTTGATGTATGGTAAGATCAGGAAGGAAGCAGCCAGGCTTTGAAACTGCAAGGCCATTCAGTGCTAATCAAAGCTGGGCAATTGCAACATTCACACCTGCCTCAAACAGACAAGAGTTTTTTCTCCCATTTATTTATTTATTTATTTAGCAACTTTGTATACCGGTCTTCTCCCCTCTATCGGGGGACTCGGGCCGGTTTCCAACAATAAAATCACAAAACAATCATTAAAAACATTATATAACATATTCAATTAAAATGTTATAACAGCAAAATGCAATCACATAACAATGGTCAGTCGTCATAGTGAATTCGTTGTCCATCATACATCGTCATCTATCTGATCACAGAAATATTGATTCATTCGTCAAAAGCCAAACCCCGTAGCCAGGTTTTCACCTGTTTTCTGAACGACAGAATGGAGGGGGCAGTTCTGATCTCCAGTGGGAGAGAGTTCCAGAGTCGAGGGGCCACCACCGAGAAGGCCCTGTCCCTCGTCCCCACCAGGCGCGCCTGAGAGGCCGGTGGGACCGAGAGCAGGGCCCCTCCAGACAATCTTAACAATCTAGATGGTTCATAGGGGAGAATATGTTCAGACAGGTAAACTGGGCCGGAGTTGTTTAGGGCTTTATAGGTTAACACCAGCACTTTGAATTGTGCTCGGAAGCTATTTGGCTCGGAAGCTAATCTCCCACCCTGGACATTCCACAGATATATAAACCTCACTTGCCTAGTTTCCTCACAATTTATTTATTTATTTATTTACTTCGCTTATATACCGCAGTCCTCAGCCCAGGGGCGACTCACTGCGGTGTACAACATAGCAAAAACAAGGTGCAAAATATAAGACACAGTATAAAATAATCCACAATTCAACATTATCAGAAAACATCCTCATCAAAAACATCATCATTACTACAAAAGCCATTCCGTGTCGTCTCATCGCCAAAACCACAATCCAGTATCAATTTCCGTTGTTCATTCCTATAGTCAATTACCAATCATTGCACTTCTTGTTCAAACGCCTTCTTAAACAGCCAGGTCTTTAATTTCCTGTGGAATATCAGCAGGGAGGGAGCTAGTCTGATGTCCACAGGAAGGGTGTTCCACAGCCGAGGCGCCACCACCGAGAAGGCCCTATCTCTCGTCCCCGCCAGCCGTGCCTGTGACGCAGGCGGAATCGAGAGCAGGGCCTCCCCGGAAGATCTCAAAGTCCTCGTGGGCTCATAGGCCGAGAGGCGGTCAGTTAGGTATCTTGGGCCAACCTCTGAGGATGCCCGCCATAGACCTGGGCAAAACGTCAGGAGAGAATGCTTCTGGAGCATGGCCAGACAGCCCGGAAAACTCACAGCAACCCACTATAAAATAATATGACATAAAATAAAGAACTAATGAATAGATTTCCCATAAAATATAATAATAATAATATGATTGCAATAAAATAATATTAAATAAAATAGGATGGCCATAAAGTAATAAAATATAATAATAAATACAATTGACATTAAATAATAAAATAAAACAATAGAAATAGGATGGCCATAAAATAATATAAATAAAATATATATGATTGACATAAAATAAATAATAAAATAATAGATATAATAATATTATAATGTTCCAGGAGATGGCAGGGAGTGTAGAGCCTTGAGTCAGGGTTCTTTCCTTAAGAGCAATAGCAATCATCATCATCCTGGAGAGGCCTTCACTTCCTGCCAAGCCTGCCTCCTTACCATGGCAGCAGCCAGTTCTGTTCTCACCTCAGAGGCAACTACGAGATCCCATACTCACTTTCCTATTCAACTTCCGGTCTGAAAAGGGGCGGGGGTTGCCTTAAAGGCGCCGCGACGTCTGCTGCCACCTTCAGGCCAATTGGCTCCATAGCAAGGAATGGCGATGAGAGAGCCAGAGAGAGCCATGGCAAGGCATGAATCCTAAAACTGCATATCTTTGGAACTGTTTTCTTCTATAGAAGGCTGCAACTCCCACTTGTTTAACCGTGTTGAGGTGGGCTACATTATTAACACAGTAATAATAATAATAATAATAATATTTCAATAGTGTTTTATCTCTTTAACATTATTAAAATATTATTATTACTGTTATTATTATTATTATATTATATTATATTATATTATATTATATTATTTATTTACTTTGCTTCTATACCACAGTTCTCAGCCCGGAGGTGACTCACCGCGGTTCACAACACACAAAAAACAGCAAAAATTCAATGCACCAATATAAAACAGTTAACGACCTAATCTAATACACAGTTAATACACAATTACTATAATAACCATTCACTAGCGTCTCATCACTAAAAACAGGATCCAGATTTGTCATCCATTGTTCCATTCCTATGTCATCACCAATCATTGCACTAATTATTCGAACACCTGCGCAAATAACCAGGTCTTTACTTTTTTGCGGAATACCATAAGAGATGGTGCTAATCTAATGTCTGTAGGAAGGGTGTTCCACAGCCGGGGAGCCACCACCGAGAAGGCCCTATCTCTCGTCCCCGCCAGCCGTGCTTGTGAAGCTGGCGGGATCGAGAGCAGGCCTCCCTGGAGGATCTCAAAGTCCTGGTGGGTTCATAGGCCGAGATGCGGTCAGATAGGTAGCTTGGGCCCGAACCGTTAGGGCTTTAAAGGTCAATGCCAGCACTTTGAATCAAGCCCGGTAGCAAATCGGTAGCCAGTGGAGTTGGCGCAACAGGGGGGTTGTATGCTCCCTGCGTTCCGCTCCTGTTAGAATCATGGCTGCCGAGCGTTGGACTAGTTGAAGCTTCCGAGCCGTCTTCAAAGGCAACCCCACGTAGAGAGCGTTGCAGTAGTCTAGGCGGGATGTAACCAGAGCGTGGACTTGAGTTACCCGTGTGTGTGGGAAGCCTAATAATAATAATAATAATAATAATAATAATAATAATAATAATGACGAGAAACAACTGGAAAAGCTGACATGATATCAGGATGTAAAGATCAAACTGCAAAGACTGTGGCACAAGCCAGTAAAGGTGGTCCCAGAAGTGATTGACACACTGGGCACAGTGCCTAAAGACCTTGGCCTGCACTCAGGGGTGGCTCGTCCATTACGCGAAGGAAGCGGTCGCAGAACACTTTTTTTTGCCAGGGGTGCAGAGGCGCCTCTGTAAATGCCCCTCGACTGCCACTTGAGGAGGGCCCCCTCAGCTCACAACAGCCCTAGCAGTCTGGGGGGAGCCTCAGCTTTCTTGCCTCGCTGCCAGGCGATCCTCTTCCCAAAGGTGCCGGGCCTTTGAGCCTCACCTAGCCCCTCTTGTTCCTGCTCCACCTGGCCACTGGGTGCATGAGCAGAGCCGGCGCTCAATCGTTCTCCGCGTTCGATCCCTTCCCCATGACCCCTTTCCCAATCCCCCGGTGCTCCACCCGCCTCCTCTCCTCTCCCCAATCCGCGGGTGGGCCAAGGGGCGGAGCCACCGCGCCTGGCCCGCTTGGTCCGGAGGCGTGTCTGAAGACCCCAGCGTGCGCACCAAAAGTCGCCTCTTCTCCTGACTTTCTCTTCAGCCATTGGGACCAGGAGAGAGAGAGAGAGAGAGCCCCTCCGGCTGGAGGTATCTCCCACCTCCGCTCCCTCCTTTGTTTTTGCGCCTACCTTCAGGAAAGGTGGGCATCTCCACCTCTCTCTCTCTCTCTCTCTCTTGGTCCCAATGGCTGAGGAGAAAGTCAGGAGAAGAGGTGACTTTTGGTGCACACGCCGGGGTCTTCAGGCACGCCTCCGGACCCAAAGCGGGCCAGGCAAGGGAGCAAGTGCGGCAAGTGTAGTTACTGGGATGTATAGTTCACCTACAATCAAAGAGCATTCTGAACTCCACCAATGATGGAATTGAACCCAATATGGCACACAGAACTCCCACGACAAACAGAAAATATATATCAATGATTGGTTGGGGGGGGGCCAAAATACTGTTTGCTTACCATTGAAAATTATCTAGGGCTGCCTCCGCCTGCACTTAAACACAATCAGCGCTGACAAAATTAGCATTGGCCAGCTGCAAAAGGCCACCCTACTTGGATCTGCACACATTATTCGCTGATACATCACACAGTCCTAGACACTTGGGAAGAACTTTATAAAGGAGAACTTTATTGCAGGAGAACTTGGTGTAAGCAATTGTGTTCTGTTATATTTGTAACTTAGCATTTGCATGTTTGTATTATATAAACATACTTGCTATTAAGAAACCTTCTTAGCCACTCTTTTTGTTCCACTTTAATAATAATAATAATAATAATAATAATAATAATAATAATCTTTATTTATACCCCGCCACCATCTCCTCCAATGGGGACTCGGAGTGGCTTACGTGGGGCCAAGCCCGAACAACAGATTACAATACAAAACATACAAAATTACAATAAAATAGACAACGTAACATTAAACTATAAAACATCAAAGCATATAAACTTGAAACAGGCGGTGGTTCGTCCACTCCTTAAAAAGCCTTCCCTTGACTCTACGGTGCTGAACAATTACAAGCCGATCTCCAACCTCCCTTTTTTGGGTAAGGTGCTGGAGCGAGTGGTCGCCCTCCAGCTCCAGGGCTTCCTAGATGACATCAATTACCTAGATCAGGCACAGTCTGGTTTCAAGCCTGGTCATGGCACCGAGACAGCCTTGGTCGCCTTGGTGGATGACCTCCGTAGAGGACTGGACAGGGGGAGTGTGACCCTGCTGGTTCTCTTGGACATCTCAGCGGCTTTCGATACCATCGATCATGGTATCCTTCTGGGTCGGCTCTCTGGAATGGGTCTCGGGGGCACGGTTCTGTCGTGGCTCCGGTCCTTCCTGGAGGGACGAACCCAGATGGTGAAGCTGGGAGATGCCTGCTCGGACCCCTGGCCTTTGACCTGTGGGGTCCCGCAAGGCTCCATTCTGTCTCCCATGCTTTTTAACATCTACATGAAACCGCTGGGAGAGGTCATCCGGAGTTTTGGAGTTGGGTGCCATCTCTATGCAGATGACACACAACTCTACTACTCTTTTCCACCTAATTCCAAGGAGGCCTCTCAGGTGCTGGACGAGTGCCTGGCCGCTGTGTCTATCTGGATGAGGAGGAACAAGCTGAAGATCAATCCCGACAAGACAGAGGTCCTCCTGGTCGATCGCAAACTGGATCGGGGTATAGGGTGGCAACCTGTGTTGGACGGGGTTACAGTCCCCCTGAAGTCACAGGTCCACAGTTTGGGAGTCCTCTTGGATTCATCGCTACGCTTGAGGCTCAGGCGTCGGCGGTTGCCGGGAGGGCCTTTGCACAACTGAGACTTGTGCGCCAGCTAAGACCGTACCTCGCTAAGGCTGATCTGGCCGGGGTGGTTCACGCCTTAGTCACCTCCAGACTGGATGACTGCAATGCGCTCTACGTGGGGCTGCCCTTGAAAACGGCTCAGAAACTCCATTTGGTACAACGGGCAGCAGCCAGGATGTTAACTGGGGCCCACTACAGAGAGAGGTCAACCCTCCTGTTTAAGGAGCTCCACTGGCTGCCGTTTATTTTCCGAGCCCAATTTAAGGTGCAGGTGCTTACCTACAAAGCCCTGAACGATTTGGGACCACCCTACCTGCGTGACCGTATCGCTGTCTACGAACCCACACGTTCACTCCGGTCATCTGGAGAGGCCCTGCTCGTGATCCCGCCCGCGTCACAAGCGCGCTTGGTGGGGACACGAGACAGGGCCTTCTCTGTGGTGGCCCCCCGCCTCTGGAACGCCCTCCCGAAAGACCTCAGACAAGCCCCTACATTGGCAGTCTTCAGGAAGAATTTGAAAACCTGGCTATTCCAATGTGCCTTTTCAGACTAGGAACCCCAGTACCAAATCCCAGAAGCACTTTAGTTAGAACCAAGATCACCGCACACCGCACTTATACTATAATCCCATATCCCTCCGACACATCAGCACTTTTAATCCTGTACCCCTACTCTGGCCGGCTCAGTTTTAATAATGTCTTGTTGTACTGCTTTTGTTATTGTTTTTGCTTAACTGTTTATTTGCTAGGTATTGTATTGTTGTATTGTTGTATTGTGTGGGCCTCGGCCCGTTGTAAGCTGCATCGAATCCCTTGGGAGATGCTAGCGGGGTACAAATAAAGTAATAATAATAATAATACTCATAAAACATAAAACCAAAACATAATAACAGAGAGCGGGCCGCATGTACATAAAATGATTAAAAAACTCCGGGTGCGATAAGAGGGTAAAACGAACTGTAGGGAGAATTCATGGAGAGACAGGATGATAAACAAACCTATGTACTAGGGGAGGGGGCAATATGGTTTTATTTTGTAAAACCATATTTCTCCACCTGAAGAAGACTTTGTATAAGTCGAAACCAGTCGTGAGGAATATCTGTGCTCAGGAACTGATGCTGAACACAAATTTGGGAGGCCCTGCCTAGGCAGAGACTGACCAGACCCAAAAAGAGGATCCGGGACACCTGGCGAGACAGCAAGCACCAAGAATGATTTTCCCCTTAATTTTCCCAAACAAAGTCTCACCAAGTTGAAGCAAAAGCCACTGAGGTTTTATTTCATTCCAGCTGGAACAGACGACAACCTCAGTTATCTGCCCAAGGGGCTGACATGCTGGCTGGGCAGAGAAAACAATATTTATAGGGCTGTCAGATTCAAAAGTTCCCATGCCCACCCTCCTGAGCTGTGACGTCAGCAAGCCAGCAGGAGATCCAATGAAAGCCTGAGCCCTGCTTTGGCGGCTCAGCCAATGAGGTGGAAAGAGGTGGGCAACAGGGAAACAATGAAAAAA